AATACTAATTAAAGGCACATTTTATAATGTTCTCCTTCCCAATAATAACCTTGTTATACAGAGCTAAGGTACCTTTACAAATATAAACAAAGAAACTAAACAAAATAAAGACATGCTATTCTTAACTCTCATATTTTCTACATGAGTCAATGCAGAAAAATCAACATTTCTTTAGATTTTATGTAAGATGAATCTTGAAAGCTTTCTTAGTAATTTCATAAACCTAACAGATGCAAGGAAATCTGTGCAGTAGTTTTATCCAAGGTGAGCACTCAAATGCCTTCATTCTCCTCCTCTAAGCACAATGACCAAAATGCAAAAATATGATGAAAAGAGGGTCACTTCTGTTTTGTTACCTTCAAATCATCAGTACCCTAAGTAAAGATACTAAAATATTATAAGAACATGGCTTATAAGCTTATGGTACATAAAGAACAGCAGACATTAATGCAGCCATTCCAGGCCGGGGCCAGGAACACAGCCCACTGCCGGAATGCTGTTACCCTAACGAGTCACTGGGAGTTTGATAAAGATAACGGAGCATTTCTTAAAATTCCATGTAGGATTTCTGAATACCCCCTTACTCATTATTTGTTGCGTGTCGTATTTTTATCTTCACTGCTGCCTACTTGCAGAACTGCAAAACTCTGGCTGCCCAAAGACGCACAGCTGTGCTTGGTAAACACCACGGAGTACGTGCACTGAAAAGACACCTTTGCGTAGCCTATTACGGACCTAGAAGTTCTGTATTCGCTCTATTCATTATTAAATGTCACTGACTGCTAGATTCATTACAAAAGCACATTTATCTGAGTCATAACAACTTCCAAAGATCACTGAACTATATGAGCGGTAAAGGCTTGCAAAGCATCCTGGAACTCTCCCAGCTTATAGCCGAAGATGGTTTGGATGCCAACATGGCAGCCTGGAGTGAGCAACTGAAACACAGGTCAACTGAAGGGGGGAGAGGGGGGCCTTATTTTGAAACAAGTATTTTTTTTTTTTGAAAGTCATGATTTTCTTAAAAGCAAAGTAATATGCACAATGACAACATAAAAAAAGACATAGGGCCCTCCCTGCTGGTGCAGCGAGTTAAAGCACAGCACTGAGAATCTAAAGCTGCTTCCACATGAGTTCTATTCCCGCCTGCCCCGGAGGTGACCACATGGCGCGGCAGACCTCTCCTGACCCGCCCGCTGCTCCCCTGAGCAGTGTACTTCATAGATCTGCCTGTTCTGCTCCCCACGCTGTCTCTGGTGAAGCCTCTCACCGCCCCTGAGCCTCTGGCCTGTACCCCAGTTCTGTGTGCACAAATAAATAAATCTTAAAAAAAAAAAAGACATAGGATGAGTGAATGCATGTGTATCCATGTCGCAGTGTCGCAGCATACACCGGCACTCTGACACGTTTGTGAACACGAGAACCCTGACGTGAAGTGACTGATCTCAGGCAGACCACAGCCTGGACGCTTGCAGCCCCCTACAGACGGGACACTGCCTGGGTCTCTCTTCTCTACGAAAGGACACTCATAGACCACCCCCAGCAGGTGTGGTCTCTCTCCGCCAGCTTTTAAAGTCAACAAGCTTCCTCTGTTTTTCCTGGTTTCCATCTCATGACTCAGAATCATAACCAAGTCTTGACATTAAAACTGCCTTCCAGTTCCCCAGCTACCACCCTCTATATGTATTCACCATCTATGTAGATTTAACCCGTGCTCTCAGCATGGATTCCACAATCTGCCATAACCACCACCCTCTTAGCTTCCCCCTCTCAGCCTGCCTCAGCCTAACTCTCCAAAGTCCCCTACAGACACCAACTAAGAACCTGCTGATAATGTCGATCATGACAGTGGAAGCAAAAGCCACTTGGCCCAGCCCACTCATCAGTCCCTGCTGCAGTTCCTTCTCCTGTTCTGCGAGTTACTCCCTCCACAGGTGCACCGGGTCCCACTCGCTCTCACGTACTCAGTCAATTTTCCCCCAAGCGACCCCGGTACTCTCAAGCATTGCTTGTTTCTCCCCTCGGGTCACTGCAATCATCACAGGATACCTCCCGTTCTTAGAAACGGGACTAACTGTGGTCACTCTTTCTGTCATCACATCACCTTGGCTCCTCTGTGTAATTAGTGGTCATCTATCTCCTCCCTCAGATCTGTACCCAAATACCTAACAAAAGTCCTCACAACCTCCATCCTCCCCTCTCTTTTAGCTAAGGCCTCTCGTCACTGACAGGAGAGGAAATGGAGCCCCATCAGACAAGAGACTTAACAACTTATGAAAATGTGACAGAGGGGTATGAAATATAGAACGTTACCTATAAAATACAGCACCAGTCATTGCTGCCGTTAAGTTAGATATAAAGTGTGGAAACACCAGCTCACAGGCAATCAAGATGGAAAATAATAAGATCAAATGAAAAGCCCAGGAATATCATGTTGTTCAGCAATCCACACTCTGTGCTAAAGCACACGAGGGCCTTGCTTGTCCACATTCGAGTCATGCCACACATGCTCTGTGGGACACAGGGATTGGCTTAGGGCTTGCACCGCTGAAGCATCATCATCCTGTGGCTATAGACTAGAATTCTTTGCTGCGATGTTAACCATCTAAGGACTAATCGTCCTAGTCTCATTAACTTAACCTTATGCCAATGGAGTCTGTAAGACTGAGTTTTCCTGATGCCTACTGTTCCTTTCTTATTCTCTATTATGCTTTGCCAAGGTGTGCAATGTTAGTTGAATGAATAAACAGACTTGTGATCTCTTATATGGCCATCAGGTCAGAACCTATGACTCCTATGACAAAAGAACTGCTTCCTTTTGCATAACTGACATTCCAGGAGACAGAACTAGAGGAATACTCAAGTTTGAAGTCATTTCTTCCTCGAAATGCATGTTAATAAATAAACTTTTCAGTCAAGAAGGAGGCTATTATCATAAGCACTTATATATAAAGGCTCAGACAAATAATATTCCTTCAAGTAAACAGATTGATAAATAAATCATACATATAAATATTAAAAATCACAGGAGGAACTGACTTTTAAAGCCACTCTTTTCTTAATCACAACTAATTAAAAATAATACACTTGACTTTGATGCCACAGATGGAGTCTATACTAAAGGGGGAAATGAGGAAGGAGACGTAAGGACAATTTAGGACAAAACTCCCAGTGATGGAAGAGACGGTTGTTTGCATCAGACCACACCAAAGAAGCCAATGGACTCTGCCGCTCGATGAATATGTCCAGTTATATTTAAACCATTTAAGCCCCAGCTCTGCCCTAAGCTGAACTACTTCAAATGAACTAGGTCCCTGATGTCTATATCTGCTCTGAACTTCCAGTCATATCCTACAGAGAGACCATCCTTTCTACTTTGGACCAAATGGACACCACTGTGGTTAATATATTTGGTAAAGTTAAAATCTCTCTATCCAACTTCTTGCAAATCACATACATTATACTTGCACATGATCTTTAAACCAGTTTAATGCAGTTAGTCAAACAAACAAACAAGCAGCCATGAGATCCTGATTACCAGGACTAAATTTTATATATTAATTTGGGAGAGAGTAGTATTGTCATTGTATCAAATTTTCTGTACAGGATGATGGCACATAATATTCTGAATTACCTTATGCCCTGTGATAAAATGGTAAGAGTTTTCATCAAGCAGCTCTTGTAGTTTTCTTGCTATATTTACTCCTCTTGTTTTATTGTAGTGAATCTTGCCACATTCTAAATTAATGGTCTGACAAGACTTCCAGATCACACCAAAATAAGAAACCATAAAGGAAACCAACTGTAACAAATCAACATTTTGAATATGGGGACAGGAAGAACCGGCTTTTCTTTTCCATTATTCATGAAAAGATCCAGAAACTTTCATGGGTGGGCTCCAGGAAGCAAAAGACACAGTACAACCTGGACCCAACCTCCCAGCTTCCGTTTTCACCAGCGACACTAGCCCGTGTGTCTGCCCAGCTGTGTGCTCCTCACTTATGGCGCAGCTTCACTGATAGTGTCATAGCTCCTTCCTGCCCACAGACCTTTTCCCAGCTCCTCGTTTGACAGCAGGAATGGTCAAGTGGCTTCCTATAGTACTTAAACTGGACCTCACTCATTAAACAACATCAGTGGTGTCAAAGAAACCAGATGCCTTCTTTGGGACTAGAGTAACTGTCCTTCACTGCACCTAAGCCGAAAGGCTTAGGTCTGCTGAGATGTTTCTGGAATCAGGAAGGACACCGCTCCCCCCATCACTCCTGCTGAGTCAGCACCCTCAAATCATAATTAAATAAATGGTGCTTGCTCAATCTCAAATGGCAATGCTGATTTCTATCACATCCTAAGAAGTGAATTTAAACTTCTTGATCGTCCAGCTTTGCCACCTCGTATGTAAAAGAAACCTGAATTCCATGAAACAATTTCCTTTAAATCAAAGACTTTGGATTGTATTTACCTACTTATTTTGATGGCAAAGAAATGATGGAGTAGGAATCATTCAGACTTTGATCAGTTTCACAGGTAAAGTTCTCAACTGATCCATCTCGGAAATATTAGCAAGACCAGTTTGCCCCGACACACACAAGACAAGCTCCTGTCACACACCTGTTCTCTAGTCTCAGGGACATCTTTTGACATTTTATTTTGGCTATTTTATTATCGAAAGATCAATTATTTGGCCCCATGAATTGCATAGCATTAAATGGAAGCATCTTATTTCCTCTGACAAAACTCCAGCTACAGGTAGGCTTGATTATAAAATCCCCATCTCCCCACCCAATGGAATCATTTTCTAGGAAAAAGATCGTAACTTGAAACATGGGGTCAAAAGCAGTGCTAATCACATTCTAATATTAATTTGATAACATATACCAAATTCTGCTAGAAAATCTTGAGTTCTTCCACCATAACTGCACCATCATTTCTCATGGGGAAAAAACAAATTTTCAAGCCCCCCCCCACAACAACACAATCACAAAGTAGAATGTTTCTACCTGCTCTTTGACAGAGGCCAGGATGGCAGAGGTGGTTTCTGCTTCTGAGCCATCCCCGTTGGAGGTGGTTAAGCCAGGGCTCAGCGAGCTGGTCTTGTCGGAGGCTGACGAAGGCTGGTCTGGGACAGGCATAGCTCCTGCAAGGCAAGAGGATACACTTGGTGAGCGGAGGCTGAGGCCGAAGCACCGACAACGGCCAGGCAGTGTAACGGCGATTTTAGGGGAAAGGAATCTTCTTAAGGACAGAGAAGTGCGCGGCCTAACTGCAGAAGGGGGAACTAAAGCAAATGCCCATGTTTTCTACCGTGTTTTCAACCCACCCCTGTTCCAGAAGACAACTCCTCACAGCGTTTGCCTTGGGAAGTGAGTCAAAATGGTAAGAAGGAAACGACACTCGAGATTGTAAGGGGAAGCCCGAACAGCACGGAGTCTCCAGAGAAGCTCGTCAAGCCACCACTTTACATCTGTTTTAGGTACATTCATGACTGGTATACCCGTACAGTTACGCCTCCGAAAAAAACCCTATTATTTATTCCCCTTTATAAGGAATCACACAGAGTAAATAATCAATCATTCATAAGTAATTAAGGAAATGCTGTAATTCACTTAATAAGAAGCTTAGCTGGCACTGTAAAATGTAGTAAATAACTAGCCCACTCCACAAATATTTACCAAATTCCTACTCTGTGACCAACAACAGACTAAAGCTCCTTGGAGCTGACGCGGCTCGTTTGCCACAGTTTATTTTGTCTGAGTTCAATGAGAAAGAAAAGAGAAACTCAAACAACATCAGTCTAATTCATAATGGGAACACAGGTACAGGTTAAACCCAGGCCTCTCAAATGTCATTTTGTTCCATTATACTTGTCTTTCATGCACAAATAATTAAGACCAAAGCTTTCATTACATGCATTACCTAGTGATGGTTATCAGCAGAGGAAGTAATAATTAACTTAGGGCAAGTTTTTGCAAGGCACTTCAAAATCACCATTCAAATAAAAATCCTGGGAGTACATAAAGGTTGTTTTCTTGCCTGAAGCTATTAGGTTACAAGTTCCTTCAGGAGGACGTGTAGGGTGAATTTTAAATGGTATTTCCTACTCTACTGTGGCTGAGCATACTGGGTTTTATACTAAGCAACGCAATTATCACAACAGCCTTTATATATGGGATTAGCCACATTTTGCTATGAATGTAGGGCTATTCACACCCAAGCGGGTTCCATGACAGAATTTTACTTAAAACGGTGATGAAAAGGTAGTCATCTAATTTTCTCATCATACAGTCCAAATTAGTTTTTATTAGTTTTTAACTTTTTATTAAGTAAGTTATTTTTAATATTGTCAGGAGGGTGGGGGCTGAGGAGGGGGTTAGAATAGCACCAGAAAAATAAGCTGGTAAAAACCCAAAATATATGGAGGGTAAGGAAATAAAACCAACAAGTGAGGATTATAACAAGTATAGGTTGGTAAAAAAAAAAATGACAAAAGAGATCAAAGTATTTTAGGTGATGGATAACAAAATAACCAGAGAAAGGGATTTAAGTAATAGTAATGGGGTAGGAAGAAAATAAGCAAGGAAAACTGTGTGTGTCACTTGCTTTCATACATTTTCTTTTTATTTGATCAAACTTCAAAAATATAAGAACGCAGACCAACAGATCAGCAAATGTTGCACTGAGGGAAAACAGCCTAAGAGGCTGTTTCTGTTCAGGGAAAGAGGTTGGAGGATGTGGGGGTGGACACAGCAGAGAGAGAGAAAGAAGGAAAAAGGTGCCCGTGTCCGAATCTGCCCTGGCCAGTCAGAGGTCTAGCCATCACCTTCATGCCCACTGTACCCACATATTTTAAATTATTTTAACTTCTGTGCTCCCTAAATTTTGGGGAGCCCAAGAACAAACTCAGGTTCTATGTCAGCATTTCTATCAACACATATTATGACAAAGAAATTGTCTAAAATCTCAGTCACCAAGTGGGTCTATAACTCAAGCTTTCGGCCTTGTTATTCTATTTTCCTGTCCTCTGAATGATCAGCTTGTCACCTCTCACCTACGCTGCCTCCTCAATACTACTCGACACACCAATTTCTAGGAAAAGGAACTCTTAAAAGTATGAACAATGGCCTGTCATAGTAAAATATGGGATTTACTGGGCAATGGAGGAAGGTATAACTTAGGCACTTGGCAGCGTTGACCCACAGACGATGAGGTAGAATCGAGTCTGTTTATTAGCCCCCTTTCCTCTGACAATAACTGGTGAGAAGTGGAATCTTCAAGGCTTGTCAGGTCACAGAGCTTCTTCTTCCCTGGATGACCTCTCAAAAATGACAAAAATCATCTGGAGTGACCTCCATAGTCCCTACTCTCTAACATCAAATTTAATTCCGGCCACTTCTGCCTTTGGGTGCTGAAGACAGCCCAGTCCCACACCTGGTCTTCACGCAGAAAGACAGGCAGGAATGTGTGCAGAGGCCGGAACAAGCCACTGACTGCCAGAGAGAGATACAAAAATCCCTCCGACGATGCGGTCCACAGCCAAGTACTTCAGTCTTGGTGAGCACAAATCCACTAAAAATGAGCTGTTAATCTCTCCTAAATCCAGGAAATCTGGAAAATGGAGAGGCAAAAAGAAAGATGCAGAGGAAGAACAACCATGATTAGCTTTGCCATCCCATATAAGTGTTATTTCCTCAGACTGGTATTTTGATCTATATAATTTTTTTTTCTTATAGAATTTATTTTTTTGCTGACTTGACTTGCTCAGCATGACGAGTTTTACACGAAGGAGTACTAAAGTAATATAGAGTTATTTAAAAAAAAAAATCTCAGCAACACAATTCTGTTTCTTCTATCAGTAAGAAATTTTCCAGTGTAATAATATAGCGCACGCTTAGAACTCGGTAATTGAAAACATCATAACACATCAAACTTGCTTTTGTTTGTCATTGTAACCCCATTTTGACAAGCAGATATTTTTGATAAACAATTCCCCAGAGCTGGTCTGATGGAATGAGGACCCACTGCAGACTGAGACTACACGGCAGGTGTCACGGGCTGCCCCGCTCACGGTGCCAACACACCTGGTCCTTATCCCCTCCTGCTTTTACCAACTTAATACAGATACATTCTTCCCGAATGACTTTACTTTTTAATCAAAATACAAGTGCAGTAGACATTTCCCCAGACATTTCTGCCTCCCACATAAACACCTCTTCACACTCTGTTTGTATTTATCATGTAGGAAGTTCTTCTATATCTAGCGAAATGAGAATCTACAAATACTGTCCTGTATTTCTGACAAGCCATCTTTGACATGAATGAGCAGTGTGTCCTGTGTTAGAGCCGCTCACATTTCTGCAGAACGTGGCCGGCCAAGGCCCGTGTCCAGAGAATCCGACCAGCAGACGAGCCGTCCCCCTACCAGGCCAAGCTGCCCACTGCCGGGGCCAGACTCCGAATACCTCACCCGTTCACACATTGCAGCCCTAAACCCTAACGTGACTGCATTTAGAGAAGAGGCCTCAGGGAGAGAGAGCGGCAATTAAACAAGGTCTTCATGATGGCACCCTAGTCCCTTAGGGCTGGAAGACAGGGGAGCGGAGCTCTGTGCTGTGTTGACAGCAGAAGTGGCCACTGTCTGCACAGCAGAAAGGGACTGGACACCAGAGACGGACTCAGCCCCTTTTGCACCTTCATAGCAGAGTTCTAGCCTCCAGAACTGTGAGAAAAAGGATTTTAGTTCCTTCATTAGCCATTCATTGTGTGGCAGTCCAAGCAGATAATTACAAGCCAGGTCGGTTCGCTCTAACTTCTCTCCCTTCATTTCCACAGGGGGTGGGCCTGAGGGGCTCAGCAACGAAAGGCCGCAAGGCAGTGCTGTTACACCCGTCACCCGCGAGCCGCAGGTATCAGGTCATGGTAGGTGCTGCTGCAACAGTGCACCCAGATGAAGCAAAGCCCACACAGGGCAAGGCCCATGGGCCAAAGGCCCCTGAGGAGCAAACAGGTGAGGAACAGCCACAGCTTGGCTGCTTCCACAGAGGATGAGTAAAAACTCACAGAGAGCTGGCTGGGGTGGTGGTAACAAGAAGAGTTGGGAGCCCCATCTGCAGCACCTCCTTTTCAATATCAATTCATCTAGCCCTGTGTTCTAAGACTTTTTGAGTTCAAAAGGAATAGTCTAAGCCTTACTTACATTACATTACACTTGGCAGCATTAAAATCTCAGTCCCGGCCATCCCTGGTGGCGCAGCAGGTTAAAGCACAGCACTGAGAAGCTAAAGCCACTTCCGCATGAGTTCGATCCCCGCCTGCCCTGGAGGTGACCACATGGCGCAGCAGACCTCTCCTGACCTGCCCGCTGCTCCCCTCAGCAGTGTACTTCTGCTCCCCACTCTGCTGAAGCCTCTCACCACCCCTAAGCCTCTGGCCTGTACCCAGTTCTGTATGCACAAATAAATAAATCTTTAAAAAAAAAATCTCAGTCCAAGGACGCCATCACACAGAAAATAAAAAGTCTTCTATTTCGTCATTGAATGTCTTTCTTCTTCAGTCTCTGAGTCTTGGATGACTTTGGCATCAAGATGTGGCCATTTCAACAGAGCAACTGACGACTCCAGTGTCGCACGGTCATCCAGGCCAGTCACCCGTCAACATTGTCACGTCAGCTGCCGTGCTTTCCTCCTCCCGCGCTCCTTTCGCGTTGCTGTGGGATTGGCTCTTCTCTGATGGCCCTCTCTGCAGCCCCGGACCTTCAACCCTGCAAATCCCTCTCATTCTGCCTGCCCAGAACCTTCAAACTTGGTTGCTCCGAGTGCTGATTCTCTCTCCTCCCACATTGGCAGGCTCCATCTGTTTCAAATTCTGGAATCCACCAATTCCTGACATGCTGTGCAACTCAATGTAACCCAGCAGCTAGACTTGCCCGTCCAATGTGGTCATCCCTACAGCGTGGTTTTCAGGTTTCAGTTGCATTAAAAAGTCAGTTTCCTAATTGCACGAGTGACATTGCAAGGGATCAACCTGTGGCCAGTGGCTCCTGCACTGGCCAGTGAAAATACAGGTCACCATCACGGCAGAAAGGTCGAGTGATGATCTTGATCTATTCCTGACAGTCACCTCTTTGATAAGAGGTTGTGA